CCACTGAACTCACCCTAGGAAATACGTCTCCCTTTCCTGAAGAGTCCAGAACTAGACACAGCACTCCTGAGGAGATCTTGCTAGGGCTGAGCAGAGGGGCAGCATCACCTTCCGTGACCTGCTGACAATGCTTTTCCTTATGGCCCTCAGGATACCACTCTTGGCCACCAGTTCTGACCCAAGAAGTCATTAATTTCTCAGCCTTAGGAATATTACAGGGAACCGCTTTTGTAAGGCTGCAGCAACAGCTGTGATTGCCAGATAAAAGGAAAACCTTCTATGGTTAAGGGAGGTGGGGATGGTAGAATACATTTTGCAAAGACATCTTGGGATAAGCACTGCTATGCTTACAGAAAGTGAATTTTATCCTCCAGCTCCATACAGAATGAAAATGGTGTCAGCTAAAGATACGGAGGCCCTGTGAGGCTCTGTGAATAAAGTCATCTCTCCATTCCACAGTTACCATGGTTAAATGGTAAAATAGTGACTAAATAATTTTCCATAATGCATCCCATGAAGCTTTTTTCCCCTACACAAAACCTCATGTGATCATTAATGGGGGAAAATCCTGCAGGATGCTTTAATGCTGCTACAAGCTGTATGCATTGTAACATGGATTTTCCGTCAAAAATCAAGATGGGTTTGTGAGACTCAGACTTCCACTCTAGAACAAAGCACATAACTAGGCCCATGCAGCCATGACCACAGAAATAACCTGCAGTGAAAGAGAAAGCCAGCTACAGGGATGCTGCTTTATCTTAAAAAAAAAATCTTGCGGCTGGCAAAGAAACATGAAGCTGCAGCAGCACCATGTTTTTTATGAGTCCCAGATCAATATAAAGCTATATGCCTTGTGTGCTGAAGCAGATAAATTATGTGGTAAGTGTCATTTGTATTTTTAATACGGTGCATCTTTAGTTCAATTAGAAATATTTGGATGGAATCTCCACCTAATCATGAAAGTCTCTGATGTTTTGTTAATGCATAGCAAGTCTTTACTGTCAGCAGTCAGCAGAAATACAGACAGAGGTAAGGATTCAGTCTCAAAAATGAAAGGATGCTAGTGATATCTTAGTATTATTACAGTGAATTACATTGTATTACACCTTTAAGCAATTTTGTTTGTTGTGTATGCAACATTTAAACTTTTATTAGCCCCTCTGGTTCAGAAAACGACTGAGAGCTGGAACCACAGAGGAAGAATTGTGCTCGCTGTTGCTTTCCTCCATTTGTTTTTTTTTTTTCTTACAAGAGGACAAACACTTCAATAATAATCATGATAAAGAAATTTACATTTGAGTTTATTTCATGCACACTTATTTATCTCTTGCTGACATAAAAATGGCAATTTGAAAACAAACCTGACTGATAGATCACTGCCCTGTAACATACATATTTACACAAGACTATGTACTCTGTATGTTTAGAATATCTCTAGATGAACTATGTAGCAATATAGAAAATCAAAGATTAATTAAAGGTATTAGGTTATCATCCACCTCTTTATGGAAAAAGAGGCCCACCGTGTTTTGTAACAAAGATACTAGAGAATACATAACATACTTTAAAACTGAAGCAGTTTGCTAAGCTAAAAGGAAAATTCAACTACCCTTTCCTTTGCAATATCAATACTTTGAGCAGACTTTCAATATTTTTTTCCTTTATATTACTTACAAACACTTACAAGAAGACAAGCTGTAAATCTAGTCCTCTGAGTCATTTTACAAAGGACTCCATTCTGTTTTAATAGGAAAATGGTATGCACTACATCATATGAAAGCAGTGGCAGCAGCTGTGAGTTCCCTATCACAGGTTTGCAAACACATTTAATCTAATTGATGAGCTTTTGTTTAAACATGCATTGATATGCATCCTGTGGTGCGTATGGGTTGCAAAGATTCACAGCAATATACAGCCCAAGCAATCTGCCTGTGATGCTCAAAGAACTTTTATAATACTGAGAATGTGAAATATTTTTATTAATACTATTTTCATGCAAGACAAAGAACCCAAATCAAACAAATAAACAAACAAGAAAAAAAAACAAACAAAAAAAACAACAAAAAGAGAAAACACAACTAACCAAAACCCTAGATAATTATATAGCTGGATTCATTTTATTTCACACTGAAACCTACAATTCAATTCACACTGATTTAACAGAATAATCAGGACCTCTGTGAATAAACTTTTGTCAGTTGTGCTTTGAAACACAAATTTCAAAAAGCCAATTTGAAATCTGCCACTAGTGCACGTAACTTACACAAGTTTACATTCCCAGGTATATATCCATTCAATTACAGATTTCACGTTGTCACCTGATGTAACACCATGTCTTGTAAACATAACATTTTTTAGTATTGTTTTCCTTTTTTGCAAGTATCTTTCTAGCATATTGCTCTGAACTGAAAAAAAAAAAAAAAAACTAACACATTTGCTTTGTTATTTTTGAAAAGAAATTAGATTTCTCAAATATATAATCAGAAAATATTTGGTTTGATTTCTTTTGGTCAAATTTAAATCCATTTTTACCAAAAGCAATGACACATAATTTAACATCAAATTGCCATCACAGAAACTCTGTATTTAGTCAGAGCTATTGATATTCAGGATCATTTTTATTGAAACACCATAAGAATACAGCTTTAGCAACACAGACATTAAACAAATTATTGTTTTTCTTTTTCCTCAAGTATCAATTCAAGATGTTTGGAGGCTCAACGTGAGTCAATAATTTTAATTGACTGTCTTTTTCTCTGTATTTGGCCTACACAAAGCTTTAGTCCAAGTAGAAGTCCACTTGGAACTTAGTGTGAATATTTTATCAAATTCTTCATTTGTTTGGAATACAAAAGTGATACTTTTTGCTCCCACATTAAGGAAACGGATTTAAAAAACAAAATAAAAACCCAAACAAAAAGCCCCAAACAAACAAACAGAAAACCCCAGCAACACTAAAATAGTAATCTATCATTCGGGGAAATTGTAGAAAAATGCCTAGGTGAGAGGGAAGGAATGGGGTTTGGTTTACCGCGCTGCTTTCAGTATTCAGGAAAATACTGAATAAATGAACAGTTACATGGAAAAGTGAACATTTTGCAAGATGGTGAAATTGTTTCCATTCCCGTGGGGAACTCAACCCCTGAAAAAAAAAATTGTAAAACATCTATTTGGGAGAATATGCGACACAGTTAAAACAGGTCCCATTCACTTAGAGAACTTGGAAGAAAACTTCCAATACAAATATACTATTTACAATTAATCCAATCAGATACCTTCACTTGGCTTGTATTTGGGAGCTTTTTTCCTGAAACCCTTTGTTGCTTATTGTGAATTCATCAGGAAAATCCTTCCAGTATCTCCTTACAGCTCTACTTCCAGTTCTAGCTACAATTCCCTTGAGAAGCAGTATTTTTTGGCATAGTTTGTGCCTCCTTTACAGATGAATTCAGCAGCTCCCTCTCTCGCCTAAGGCAGAAGTTCCTGTTAGCTCTCTGCACTGCAGTGCAATGCAGCCCAAGGACCAGCAGTACCAAGTGTGTTTGTCTGAGTAGGTTTCCCTTGTGTTGTACTAACCTCTGCAATCTATCCCCCCCCTCCATCAGAGATACACTCAGCAGCGTCCTAACCCTTTATGGAAAGGAGAGCAGGATACTATCAATCACAGAGAAGCCTGGGTGATCTCAGCATCTTTCGATGAGACAGCCTCCCTCCTCCCCACCTATCTTTTTATGCTTCTTCCTCATCTTTTTCTTCTCTCCTCAGCCCCCTCCCTTCTGTACAGATGTGCCGTGCCCACCCCAGCCAGGATGACTCAGCTCCCACCCTCGTCCCCCTACTCACGCTGCACCCACAGTGTTTTGCAGGATTAGGCCCCTAAACCTAATCAGTGACCTACACATTCAATTACTTATATCACCCAGCCCTCCAGCCCTGGGGTGTCCTGTCTCCACTCAGGTCTGCCAGACTAACTCCTATGCCTCTTTTAATTCCTCAGGCTCTTCTATCCTGCAATCCTCTTTAAATTAGATATGTGTTGCCTTGAAAAGTCCCACCATCCCATGGTTCTTCCTAACACTAGGACTTGGACTATACTTTTCATCACTGTTTCATCTCTGTTCTCTCCTCCCCACACATGTCAGAATCATCTCAGGGCCTAAATTCCCAAAGCCCCTTGCAAAACAGGAGTTAGTGTGTTTTGGAGAACTCCTTTCCTGAAGCTGCAGAGAAAGGAATCCCTCTCTGCCTCTTACGGGTCGCGAATGCCAAACTATTTTCTCAACACAGTCAATGCAAGTGACAATCCTTGAAGGAAATCTATAGTGACAAAAGCAACAGTGTTTCCAAAACCACTTAAATTGGTTATTCTCCTTGTTTTGGTTATTCTCCTTGTTTTATTCTGCCGCCGCGCCCCCCCCCCTCCCCTTTCCTTTTCTGTTGCAAGGTCTGAAATGCTGATTGTTCCCTCCTTAACAGATCTTAGAAAGTGTAGGTCCCCTGAGGAACTGGAATTGACAACCTTTCTGCACCTTTGGTTTTCCTCACCATCCTTACTGCTACAACATCTGCAAATTTGTATTCCTCAAACATCTGGAACATCGACACCCCTGGTTTTTGCTCCCCTAGCGTGTAAAAGTTTCAGCATTAACAAACCAGATTCTAAAGCGAAGATCAGACGCTCATACCTCCTCGGATGTGTGTAACCTGCTCTCTCTGTGCAAAGACCGAGATCTGGATAGAGCTGGAGTGAGCAGCAGCCCGGCACAGGCTGCTCACGCTCACCGCGGAGATGAGAGGGAACCCCGCGCTGCCGTCTAGCGCCCGACCTGCCCCGAAGAGAGCTCTTCCCCGTCCCCGGCAAGCAAGACCACTCTAAGTCCCATGAAGAAGTTGAAGTCAAGCACAAAAAAAAAGAAAAAAAAAAAAAATGAAAGAAAGAAAGAAAGAAAAAGGAAAAGTTGCTCTCTCGAGCAGTGTCGGCAGCCCGGAGCATCACTTACCGGGGGGCAGGCGGCGGAGAGACGCGGTGCTCCTCCACTCCAGCTGCCGCTGCCTCCTGCTCGCGGCGTGGAGCTGAGGGAGGGAGCGAGGAGCCTCTCGGAGGAGCCGCCGAGCGTGACAGACCAGAGGAGGGGCGGACCGGAGCGGCTGTGTGGGCTTCGCGCTGCGGTGGAGGCTCTGCGGCAGCGCCGGGAGAGGGGGAGCGGGCGGGAGCGGCGGGCGGGCGGCGGCCGCACATCAATGCCCGGGGGCGTGGGGCGCGGGCAGGGCGAGCCCGCCGCAGGCAGCGGCCGGAGCCCGCCGAGGGGAGGCACAGAAACGCCCTCCGCCCCCGTCGCCGGCACGGCTGGGAAGCCTCCGTGGAAACGGGGCTGTTTTCCCTACTAGAAGAGAAAAATTAAAATAGTGACGCTCACGCGTTCACTTTATTGCAGAAGACAGTGTTTTATGAGAGGTGAGGATAGGTGAGAGCATATGAAATTGCTTGTTTCGATACAGGTTGCAACAGGCCCGATGATCATCCAGAGATCACTGCATCCCTCCTCTTTACTCTCTTCCCAGAGTGCGAGACGTGAGCACTTTGCAGCAACAGTGCGAAACTGCCTCTGCTCCACACGCAAAGACTGAGAGTGAAGCTCACTGCTGGTGCAGGGAGAGCCACGAGCAATATTCACTTTCCTGAGTGGAAAAATTCCTTACTGTAAGAATAGTGAGGCATTGGAACAGATTGCCTGAAGTGATAGTGGACCTATATTCCACAGAGATTTTAAGAAAACATCAGAAAAATGTGTTTATAGGTGACTGATTGCTTTAGAATGAACAGATAAAGTAGATTAGTTGTGAAGCCATTTTTTTGGACAGTAGGAAGTTATTATGGTTATTACTCTAATCAACTTCCATTTAAAGTAGTGGTATCAAAGACTGAAAACTGCTCATAACTTTGTCATACTAGATGTTATAGCAACTTTAGAACAAAGAACATGAAGGTAGTTTCTCCTTTATGATTGTATACATTTACTTGTAATTGCATTGGCAAAGTCTGTAATGCAATAAACACAGTGGTATTGCCAAAATGAAGGTGTGAGAGAAACTGAACAGGTAGGACTCCATATTGAAAACCAGTAAATATTCAGCCAGTTCTATTAACAAATACGGGATTTGGATTCATCTTCCCAAAATATTGTAATCCACAAAATATGCCTACAGGAGAAAGATAGGGTAATGGGCAGGTACCATCATTGCCCCTGTCCCATACTCTGCACATACCTAGTGTGTGTCCACTACAGCATTGTAATTTTTGATGGTCGATCTGCCTTTGAGCCTTCCTGTCAATACTTGTGAGCTTATATTCTTTAAAATATTTTTATTTTCCTCTGTTGTTGAGCAAAAGACTCAAACAGCAAAGGAAAGTGGCTTATTGATTTGTTACCCAGGGGAAAATCTGAATGAACTATGCATGGAGTGCTGTCAAGTGTGAAACACACGTAGAAAAACAGAAAAGAAACACCTATTATTTTCTGTCCCTTTCAGTAATCCTTGCATTAGAAAATTGCATCTGGTGTTACAAAATAGCACTCTAGTAAATATACAAAACTTGTCACACACAACATACAAAAATAAAAAAATCCAAAATTTTCATATGGCAACAATAGAAAAGGCTATTTGGGCTATACAAATAAGAATGGTGCAAAAAATGGAATTTCCATCCATTTACTGTTGACTGTTTAATAGGATGACTACTGTATATAAAATGCATCTTAAGCCAATGCTACTGTATTTTACTGAAATAAACTGATTAGGATAAAGACCTGCTCCCTCAAAGCTCTTGAGCACATATAACAACTATGAAAGAAAGAAGTACCACCGTATTTAGATTTTGAACATATAGGACTAAAATGCTAAGGAAAAAAAAATCACTGTGATAAAGGCATAATGGACAAACTCAATATTTTTTCTTAACCTTCCCATTAGATTCCACTGAGAAATGACCACTACAGCAGGCACCTTCCTCCTTATCTACTGCATTAGAGAGAGGGGCATTTGTGAGATAGGTTTGCAGGCATTTTGTAGCAATAAGGAAGACAGATTAAGAGATTAAAACAAGAATTTGATCCACATAAGTAAAAAGTGTGCAGTTCCATAGTCAGGTTAAACTGGTGTAACACTGTGCTTCTGCTAGACACATCGGTTCTTCCATTTGCTCTTCATCCTGTCACTTTCTTAGCATCAGCTTTATCCCTGGTATGGTTTCAGGATTAAATCTGCTGGTGAGTGGATCTGCCTTCAGAATAACTCTAGAAACCAAAGGAAAGTATGTCAAAGAGTGGTGGGTTTTCCCCTAGACCAGTGACTGACTCACTTGTCTCAGAATGAGTTATGATGATGCTGAACCTTCAGCCCATGTGTAGGATTGATTGTGCCAGCTCAGATAGCTTGTTGTGGGACCATGAAGCGTCATTGATGTAAAATTGTATAACATCTCCTTGATCTGTTTTCTATACATGAGGAGTATTTGTATGAAATTTCTTCCCCTAAAACCTCCCCACTGCAGTGTGGCAGGACACTGATCTTATTCCTGCCACCAAAAACACATCCTGAGGTTGTTTGCTTGAATACTAGCAATTTTGATGAAAAAAATACCTCTCAAATTTGAGAGTTCTATACAGACTACTTCCATTTTTCCTCTTCCTGGATCTGATGGCTTACACCTTTCTGAAATTTGTTCTCAAGAGTACTATTTCATATCAGACATAAAATTTTATCTTTGTATGCATTCATTTAAGATTAAGATACCTGCTGCTCTGTCAGTTTTCTATAGACTCTGACACATCTATATTTTTTCATTTACAGCTGTCATATTTACACAATACATTTGTCAAAATACACATTTTTTATTGCTAGTGGATGATCCTAGAATATGACCACAAACCACATTGCAGTTGTTCTCCAAAAGGACAAAACCAAAGATGCTCTTTCTAGCTGTTTGAAGAACAAAAAAACCTAAGTAGCATTACTTTGTAAAGCAATTGAAAAATTCAGACCTTGTGATTCTGAAATATTATTTATTCCATACTGGTTTTAAAAGTACATGGTAAATAAATGCCTGTGTTAAAATACTGTAGATAGTTTGCCATCACTATTTTTTAAATTTACTTTAACTTGACCCTTAAATGTTTGTCTGTGTCATATTAGCTTTGTTTCTCCTTTATTTCTTTTCAAGGAAATAAACATAGTAACATTTGTGTATAGAACCATCTTAAAAGAAAATCCAGAAAAGATTGATAGCATTTCCCTTGAAACTAAAGTTAAATTCTTCACAAACTGCATGTTTCTTTTGTACAAATTCCTCCTTTATCACTGTTTCAATCCTACAAGTAATTTCCTTGACTTAAAACTGGGCAATGGGAAATGAATAGAATATAGATGTAAAGCACATAGAAACATTTGGGGTTAATCTTCAACAAGGGCCCAGGGATCCACAGGAATCCTCTGAGCTGCCATGGTTAACAGCTTACCTCAGCCACGAAAGCACTTCAGTGTTCTATTGTATGCAGAGTATAAACCTTTCAGACGACATCCATGCACAATGACCTGAGGGAAGGACACCCCTTTGGATACCCCTTTCTTCCAAATAACTAACAGCAGGAAAATGCCACCCAAACATACTGAACAAATTCATTATGACTTCAGGAGACAGAGACAGAAAAAATGTCTACAGATTTTCTCAAAGAAAAGAAAAAGAATTCAGTTTTCTTTAGTTATGCATGAGATATTGTCTGAATTTGAACCTAAAGATTGTGTATCGTTATGTTTAGCCACAGCCAATTGAAAATATTACACAAATATAAAGAGGACTGCAATGAAAGGGAAAAATCTGATACTTCTTTTTCAAATGAAAATCACTTTTTAAATAGCCCACACCATGGCAATTCATACCCGTAATAAGTATCTATCAGACTGCATTTTCTTGTGTCCCCATAAAACAAACAAAAGAGCATGAGATGTTAAAGCTACCTACCACTGGTCAAAAGATCCTCTACCTCTTCTAAAATTAAAGGTGAAGAATCACTAAATAAATCCTCACATAATGGAGGCAGGAGCAACCTGATCAGCTAAGTACTTTATCAACAGGAACACTTAATATCTGAATCCTGTTGGTCCTTATTTCCATAGCATTTGTTGTGTTTTGCCTAAATCTGCTTGCTTCCTGTCTAAATTTAAAAATCTGGTTTGCAGGAATGAGTGGCTTTCTAGACAAGGAATATTAAATATGTGTCTCCTAAATCCCAGTTTAGAGTCTTCTGCTGATCTGCTGCACTGTCCTCGAACAGAAAATTTTCTTGAGCCTCTGTTTCCTTTCTTGTTCTTTGGTGTCTCGTTTATTCAAGGTTTTTTTGTCTATACACATAAGGAATAATACAATCTCACTGCTGTCATGACTGAGTAGTTTAGGTCGCTTAAAGAATCATCATCAAAGCTATTACAGAAGCAGAGTTAATATAAATTTGAGAAAGCATAACAAAGCTTGATGGTAAGGTTCAGTCTTACTACATGGAGGGAACATGCAAAGGAAAAGTGGATTAGTATCAATTTAGAATAATTTACACAGAGTCTAGAAATGGAAAAGGATAAGGATGCAAGAGGGTAATGGAGACCCTCCTGTGGGGTTATGGGATTCAGAGAGGACATCCTTGATTTCTAAACTCCTGACAGAACTTCGGAGTGGCTGAGTACCAGAAGTGCTGAAGTACCAGAGACCCTGCAATGGCCCCGTGTTGTCATAGCTGGGCATTTGTGCCTGCACCAGCTGAGATATATTTTCTGAGACTAGATAAATGCATGAAGTTACAATGAAATTATGCCAGGACTACCTTTTTAATGAAAAATATACTGAATAATATATATTAAAATTTAAAATCTGTAAACAAATCATTATATAATCTGATGGTTCAATCATGAATGCACATTCTTCCCGCAGATATGTCAATGATGCTTATGGTGCCTCAGAGTGTTGATTCTTGCATATGTATAATAAAAAGCTATGTAAATCACAACTTGGCTTAAACTTCCCTGTGGCATCTATGAGCATCTGAAGTGACCTGAAATCCTTGTTTGTAGTATGAAGCTGGAACATACCACACATCTGAAACATTAGTTAATATGTTAGTTTTAGATAGAATATTGATATATAACAAGTTTAATGGCTTATATTTGAACAGCATTGTGTATTCATCCTCTCATTTCTGACTTCTTTTTTATTCAAATAAGGAAGTGCAACAAGTGTATTTGTCCTAA